CAGGGGTTTTTTGTTACTCCCCATAAGATCCCTCTCTCTGAGTTCATTGATGAAGACGGCACCCACCCCTCTTTTGTTCTTTTTCTGCCCAGTGTCTTACTCCTATGGCTGGCACTATAAACCCTATGGTCAAGAATAGAAGAGCTGTGTCCATCTATAAACTCAGAGAAAAGGATTTTATGTTGAGTAACAAAAAAACTTGTTTTTTTTTTTTTTTGTTTAACATGTTATGTGAATCCACAAAGAAGACTATTGTTTTTTGCAGGCTCTCGATCATTCCAGTTCTAGAACACATAAGGTTCATGTTCTACACCAGTGTTAATCCCATATAGGAGCTCACATACAGTATCTCATCAATCAGTTGGCTGCTCTCCGTCCAGTGGATTCCTGGGTGTAGGTGGACATAAAGATGACTATCTGTATGCCCAATTTTTTTCTTCATCACCAGATGCTGTGAAAGTTTTTGGCACCAGGAGACCCAGGACCTGGCCGCAAGACTGTAGAGAAGACTAGCTGTAAACCAAGTTTATGGCATTGCTATTTTGACCTTGGTTTTTTGTTTTCAAATCTCCTGGCGCCATTTTTATGTATTCCAAGGACCCATGGGGTGCCTATTCTGGGATGCCTACATGCTTTCCTGCTTGAGGAGCAATCCATGAAGCATTGGAGTAAAACTTATCTCTTACAATATGCACTCAAGGGTGCTCAGTCTCCAGAAAACAGCATTGTTGCCAGCTCAGAGCAAAATTTGCTCATGTGAAGGTGATTTTACCCTCAAGAATTTTTTTTTTTTGGGGGGGGGGGGGGGGCATGTGTTATCTCTCGAATCATCTCTTCTGAGAGTTTTGGGGAAGATGGTGTCTTATTCGAGGCAGTTCCCTTGGTGCAATTATATTCTAGTCTCCTGCAGGGAAATATTCTGGTGGTATGGGACAGGAGAATGCTGTAGTTGAACTCCCTAGCATCCTTTCTCCTGAGCCTTTTAGACTGGTGTCTAAAAGGCTGAGGAGTAAGGATTCTAGGGATCCTGAGCAGTTGAGAGCAGAAAAGTTTTCCTCCCCCTAGGGTGCTGACAACAGATGCCAGCTTAACAGTTTTTGGGGGGTGAGGGATCTCTCATGAAGTTACTGCTTATTTTTATAGAGAAGTATTATTCTTAGTTCTCCTTAAAATTATAGAACTATGGGGGGGATCCTCAGCTTGCCTGCATTGCTCAGTTCAGTTGCAGTGTCTCTCTGTAAGAATTCAGTCAGGCAATTGTAAGGCTGTGGCATAAATAAGGTGCACCAGGAGGTGAGTGGCCCATCAGTAGGTGGACCTCATTCTGTCTTGGGCAGATCTTCAGGTCACTGTTCTGTCCACAGTTCACTTTCCTCAACTTTGAGCAGTTGTCTCTGGGGGAATGGGATTTGTACTCAAGAGTGTTGAGGCACTCTGTCAGAGGTGGGGTACACTGGATATGGATCTGTTGGCATCTGGATTCAGTACAAAACTAGACGAGTTTAATTTCAGGGCCAGGGATCTGCAGGTGTTGCAGCTATGGGATCGGCTGTCTCTGATTTATGTCTTTCACTGACGTAGTTTCTTCTGCTTCTACTTCACATGTGTAATGCCGGTGATTCTGGTGGCTCCAGCCTGGCCCAGGAGGACATGGTGTTCCCACAGCATTAACATGTTGGTGGCCGATCTTTTGACTCTTACGATTTTTGCCCAGATCTCCTCTCACAAGGGCCAACCTTCCATCCTCTTTTCCAGTCTCTGACTTTAGTGGCATGACTATTGAAGCCAGAATCCTGAAGGACGAGGGTATATCTGAAGCCATTATTACCATGCTTATGAGGGCCATCAAAGGCTACTTCAAGCAAGATTTACCACAGGACTTGAAAATTCTATGTGGCCTGAAGTGAGGCTAGGAAGTTCATCCTCACAAGTATGTTGTGGGTTGTGTCCTAGCTTTTCCCCAAATAAGGGTTGATATGATTTTGGCTCTAAGAACAATCATAAGTCAGAGGTCAGCCTTGGCAGTCCTCTTTCAGAGCTTAATAGCTTTGGCGTGTGCCTTTGTCCAAAATGTTATACATATTGTTGATTTTATTTTTTTTTTGTTTTTCTGTTCTACAAAGACCTCCATTTTTAGTTTATTTGGGACCTTCCCTTAGTTTTTAGATATGGAAGTCGGTGTCCTGGTTGTAATTGCCTCAAGGCTTTCCGAACTGGTGGTTCTTGTCACAATCGCGGAGTCAGACCCCAGACCTTCTCACCAAACTCACGACCGAAGGACCGGCCAGTCAGAAATCTCGATGTGACGTGCGTAACAATGCCACAAACAGCTGCACCCTGCACAACGATTTTCTAGCTAATGGACTAAAAACTGTGCCTGCAGCCTGAATGCGCTTGTTACTGGGTCGGGTTAATTACGCAACTAACCCTCTACTGCCACCACCTCCTTTTGTACAGAGAAAGCGGAAACTCACGTTATCAGTTAATACACTATAATGATTGAAATAATCGTCTGTATAAAACAGTCCGCAGGCCGGTTATACAGAGATTAAAACAAACAGTAGCGTCTCTTCAATGGCAGGGATTCATAAATTGCAATTAAGAACTATAGGAACAGTTCAACACTTTCAGAAGAAAGATTTATTACTAAAAGGGTCAAACAGGTGCAATAAAAAATATTTACAAAGAAGATGTAACTAAGATATATATATATATATATAGAAAACAGCACAGCAAAGAGATAACAGGGAGAAGTTAAAGGGTTAAGTTACTTGCCATTTAAGCCTTGAATGGAAGCAGATCACGTTTCAGAGCGAAAGGTCTCCCCAGGTGGTATATTGATGTTAAGAATTGGGAGATGTCTTTAACTTACTTTTTAGGCCTGCTAGCCTGTTTTTTAAAGTCCCCCAGCAGGGGGGTGGCTCTGGGTAACTGACCAATACTCTGTTTAGGGAGGGATCGTTGGGCGGAACTCTGAATTAGAACCAACATCTTTCTTAGTTCAAGATATGAAACATAGGGGAAAAACTGACTTGAGGAATGTTCATATAATTCTGTCAACTACGCTGCTAGGTTTTATGAGGTTAAAACCTCTTTCAAGTTCTGGGAGAAGCTGCCTTATCTCTGTTACGAGGTGAGAGATTCCACAGGTTTTTGGGCAGAGCGGCCCTGTCTCTCATGGGGGGCTTTGTAGCTCTGGGCCCCCTGCTGTTCTAGCCTGCTAGTGACCCACACCCAGATATCACTGTAGCTGAACAGAGAGGGAAGGGGGGAGGATGCAGGAAAATATATTTCAGGATGGTTAGTCCCTTCGCCAAGATGGAGGTTGAAACCAAAATGGTTGAACTGCGTCCATCTCTGATACGCGCTTTTGCGACAGTTCTTTCTTGCTGGAAGCCATTCCTGATCCATTTCCATGACAAGGTGGTCCTTTGACTTCAGCCGTCATTTTTGTCTAAAGCATTTTCAGCTTTTCTTTTCAACCAGGAGAGTGTTTGACCGGATATTTTTCCTAGGTCTCAGCCACCGGGGAACACAATTCCACATTTCTGCTGCGGTCTGGCGGTTAGACTTTCTATTGCTCCTCTTGAAGGACCAAAGAAGGGTCAAGTGACTACAAAATCTACTATTTGCTTCCATCAGCCAATCTTTCAAGCTTATGGGGTGAAAAAAAGACTGCCTTTCCCAGTAATGGCTCTTTCTACCAGAAGTATAGATGCTTCCTGGGCTGTCCACCATCCAACTTCAGTCGCTTAGATCTGCAGGACAGCAACCTGGTATTCGGTTACACTTTTCCAAGCTTTTGCCAGGTGGATGATAGAGCCGCCGAGATGTTTTTTTGGGGGTTTTTTTTTGTTGCAGGCTGCTGTGTGAGGTCTTTTTTGGCTTGTTGGTTGTTTTTGTGTCACCCTCCCCCATGAGCATTGCTTTAGGACATTCCTATGAGTAAAGATCAGGAGTGGACTGACAACTCATGGGGCCCCCGGGCAATAGGGGATCATGGGGCCCCTGTGTCCTCGCCCACACTCAAACCACACCCTAAAAAGCCTAGGAAAGGTACCAGGGGCATCTCATGGGGCCCCTTACTGACCTCGGGCCCTCGGGGAGTTTCCGAATGGTCAGTCCGCCCCTGGTTAGGATTAATAAGACAGCTCTATGTCCTTGTGACGTCCGATAAAGACAACTGGATTTGTGACTTCCTTGTAAAATCCATTTCTTGGAGTGCATCACAGGACGAAGAGATCCCCCCCATGTTGTGGTTCAAAGCTTTCTACCAAACTGATGTACTGTATGGGAGGGGTTATATAGGAGAGGACTTCCTGTCTTCTTTGGAGGGTCCAATCATCTGTAGGTGGCACATAAACCCTATGAGTAAGGATTTATAAGGCCGACTATGTCCTGTGATATATTCCAAGAAATGTTTTTTTTTTTTTTACAGTAAGTCACAAATCCAGTTTGTTTTCAACATAAAGGGATCTTATTCGGCTTTCTTTGCCAGCAGATCAAAAACTAAACATGAACCAATAAAAAAAACAAAATAGGTTTACATTGAGCAGAGCGAACGCCAAACTGTTCCCTACTGTGGGCTGTTCTTACACGATAGAAACCCTCATATTTTACACCCCCATCCTAACATTGTACAGTCCAGATAATTCTCTGTTATCCATTACTGGTTCACAGGGAATTCGGTGTAGACCACATGACCAATGAGAATGAAGGGGAGCCGGAGTCATGTGACTGAGAGGATACTAAACCTCACCCTGGAGATCATCTACCTGCTGACCGGAGAGGTGAGAAAGATTTTGTGAGGTCACATGACATAAAATGATAAAACCCAAATTTTGACAGTAGAGGTGAGGAGGTTTTTGGGAGGGTGACATGATGTCTCTATTGGTTTTCCTCTTCTGAAGTCAGGTGACCATACGACCATCACAGTGCCTCCATGGGACTCCCTAAAACCCGAGAGACGCAACATGCAGAAGGTTCTAGAAGTCACCATGAAGATGATGGAGCTGCTGACGGGAGAGGTGAGCGGTGACGGGAATTCTGGGACATTCTCCAGTAACAGACAAGGGATGTGTCTGGATGGTGACTGTATCATTGTGTGTGTCAGGTTCCTATAAGGTGTCAGGACGTCGCTGTCTATTTCTCCATGGAGGAGTGGGAGTATTTAGAAGGACACAAGGATCTCTACAAGGACGTCATGATGGACAATCATCCGCCCCTCACATCACCAGGTAAGAGGAGACTTTATTGTAAAGGAGAGACAAGTACGGAGGGTCCACCTAGATCCCCCATCATCTGATAAAATGTATTCAGTCAGTGTGTGTGTTTCCTACAGATGGATCCAGGAATGGGAACCCACCAGAGACATCTCCCCGTCCTCTGTATTCCCGGGATTCCACACAGATCAATATTAAAGAAGAGATAAAAGAGGAGGATGGGGTGATGGAGAACGTACACAAAGATCTGTACCAGGACACCATGGTGGAGTCATCCAGCTTCCAAAACCCCCCAGAGAGATGTCCCCGTCCTCTGTATTCCCGGGATTCCACACAGGAAGATCAGGAGATCCCTCAACATTACAAGGTTGGTGGGACAGAGAATTTAGACCGTGGACTGGTGGAGGTGATGTGTGGATTTTTTTTTGGATGTGATGTCACAATATTAAAGCTGATCTTTTCTATCATTGTCCTGGTTTAGGGTGAAGATCTGAGCGAGAGAGGAGTTGAGGGTGAAGCTGAAGAAGACGAGAAGTATGTGAGGGATGATCAGCAGTCTATGGAGGAGGATGGAATAACGGGGACATTTATAGAGGAGGACACTCCTACAGAGATGAGCACAGGTGGGGCATTACCACCAAATACATTCCCCCACCCATACTCCTGGTCTAGGGGAACCAATCTGCTCCTGTGTAATAATCCTCTTTGTCTTTCTATTGTAGTCCATGGCCGGGAGACGAGGAAAACCTCTGAGGATTGTCTCACTTTGTCTCCAGACTGTAGAGTAGAAGATGAGGACATCACACAGTCCAGTCCAGGAGAAAACCCGGCTCCCTCCAATGTCCGTCCGGCACCACACACTGTAGATGGACCATCGGATTCCTCATATCCTGAGGAACCTCAGACTGTGCGGGACCTTCCAACAGAGAAGAGCTTCTCCTGTACTGAGTGCGGGAAGTGTTTCCGTTTTAAATCCCATCTTAATGTGCATAAAAGATCTCACACGGGGGAGATGCTGTATTCCTGTTCTGAGTGCGGGAAATGTTTTGTAAAAAAGTCAGAACTCGTCAAACATCAGAGGTCTCACACGGGGGAGAAGCCTTATTTCTGTCCTGAGTGCCGAAAATGTTTTTCACAGAAGTATAATCTTTACGCACATCAGAGATCCCACGCGTGGGAGAAGCCGTATTCCTGTCCTGAGTGCGGGAAATGTTTTTCGGATAAGTCCAGCCTTTGCAAGCATCAGAGATCTCACACGGGGGAGCAGCCATATACCTGTCCTGAGTGCGGGAAATGTTTTTCGCAGAAATCCAATCTTTACACACATCAGAGATCTCATACGGGGGAGAAGCCACATTTTTGCCCCGAGTGCGGGAAATGCTTTTCACAGAAGTCCAGTCTTTACAAACATCAGAGATCTCACACGGGGGAGAAGCCGTATTCCTGTGCTGAGTGCGGGAAATGTTTTTCAGACAAATCCAGTTTTTACAAACATCAGAGATCTCACACGGGGGAGAAGCCGTATTCCTGTGCTGAGTGCGGGAAATGTTTTTCCGATAAGTCTCATCTTTACAGACATCAGAGATCTCACGCGGGTGAGAAGCCATATTCCTGTGCTGAGTGTGGGAAGTGTTTTTCAGATAAGTCCAGCCTTTGCAAGCATCAGAGATCTCACACGGGGGAGCATCCATATACCTGTCCTGAGTGCGGGAAATGTTTTACGCAGAAATCCAATCTTTACACACATCAGAGATCTCATACGGGGGAGAAGCCACATTTTTGCCCCGAGTGCGGGAAATGCTTTTCACAGAAGTCCAGTCTTTACAAACATCAGAGATCTCACACGGGGGAGAAGCCGTATTCCTGTGCTGAGTGCGGGAAATGTTTTTCCGATAAGTCTCATCTTTACAGACATCAGAGATCTCACACCGGTGGAGAAGCTGTAGCCCTGTCCTGAGTGCGGGAAATGTTTTTCCAATGAGTCTCATCTTTACAGACATCTGAGATCTCAGGCCGGGGGAGAAGCCGTAGGTGCCGTAGCCCTGAGTGTGGGAAATGTTTTTCTGATAAGTTTTATAGAGGGGCAGGTTGGCAGACAATGGGTTAAGTCCGAGCACACAGCAGAAGGGCAGGCTGTGGTTGTGTATTAGTGCCTGGAGTGCGGGAAATGTCTTCTATAGGAATGTTGCTGGACATCAGGGATACCACACAACCCTCAAGGTGTGTTAGTGCCCGAAGTATGGGAAATGTTTTATATAGGAATGTTGCTGGACATCAGGGGTTCCACACAACCCTCAAGATGTATTAGTGCCTGGAGTGTGGGAAATGTCTTCTATAGGAATGTTGCTGGACGTCAGGGATCACACACAGCCCTCGAGGTGTATTAGTTCTTGGAGTGCGGGAAATGTCTTCTATAGGAATGTTGCTGGACATCAGGGGTCAGGGAGGACGATTGGCATGGCTGGAGGTGCAATTACTGGAACCGATCCCCTGTATGGCTCTTCTCTGCAGCAGCTGAAAGCCGGCTTCTCCCTCTTACTGGCTTTCAGCTGCTGCAGAGGTGCGGCAGGAGGGGGGAAATGACTGGAAACAATCCCCTGTATGGATCTTCTCTGCAGCAGCTGAAAGCCAGCTTCTTCTCCTCTCCCTCCCACTGGTTTCAGCTGCTGCAGAGATGAGCCGTACAGGGGATCGGTTCCAGTAATTGCCCCTCCTGCCACACCCATCGCCCTCCCTGTGCACCATACGTTTCCCCCTGCTGCCCAGCCCCCCGTGTGCCCTGCTGTGCTGCCGGCTTCCCTCCTCTCCTTCTCACTGGCAGCACACCAAAGGATCCTTCAGGATGGAGAGTAGAGGAAGGATCTGGGAAAATGTCACATTTATCAGCCCCTTCCTTCCCCAAAGGGGACCCCGGAAATGTCAGGAGACATTTAACCCCTCGTCTACCGGGCACTGTCACCCCCTTCCTGCCCAGGGACAATTTTCAGCGCTGTCGCACTTTGGCAGCACTGATGAGATAGCACTGGTGGGCATTGATGAGGAGGCACTGATAGATGGCACTGAAGGGCTCTGATAGGCAGCACTGAAGGGCACTGATGAGCGGAACAGACTGGCAGCACTGACAGGCACAGACTGGCAGCACTTACGGGCACAGATTGGCAGCACTGACGGGCACAGATTGGCTGCATTGACAGGCACAGATTGGCAGCACTGCTGGGCACAGATTGGCAGAATTGATGGGCACAGATTGGCAGCACTGATGTATACAGACTGGCTGCACTGACAGGCACAGATTGGCTGCACTGACGGGCACAGATTGGCAGAATTGATGGGCACAGATTGGCAGCACTGATGTATACAGACTGGCTGCACTGACAGGCACAGATTGGCTGCACTGACGGGCACAGATTGGCAGAATTGATGGGCACAGATTGGCAGCACTGATGTATACAGCTTGGCAGCACTGCTGGGCACAGATTGGCAGCACTGCTGGGCACTGATAAGTGGCACTGGCTGGCAGCACTGATGGGCACAGATTGGCAGCATTGATGGGCAGCACTGACGGGCACAGCTAGGCAGCACTGCTGGACACAGACTGGCAGCACTGATGTATACAGAATGGCTGTACTGACAGGCACAGATTGGCAGCACTGCTGGGCACAGATTGGCAGCATGGATGGGCACAGGTAGCATTGATGGGCACAGGCAGTATTGATGGGCACAGATAGGCAGCACTGACGGGCACCTTTGGGGCTGCACTGATCATCAGTGCCCTGGCTATCAGTGTAGATTTCTCCTTTCACACTTGCCGGTCATCAGCAGCATCTAGTAGTGTAGGTGTTTGGACACCGCTGATCATGTGGTAAAAGGCAGCTGTGATTGGCCCTTTGCAGCCGTGTCCAAAGGACCCAGAGAGCGCCGGGTGCGCACGTCATATGACGCCCTCCCAGATCTGGGCGACCGCGCTGTAGCCTGTCAGCAAGTGGTTAAACATGGGAAGTATTCAGCAGCTGAACGAATAGACCTCCTAGCAATGTTATTACCGGCCTGCAGCTAGGGGGAGCTGTGGTGACCACAGGACTGTGATTCCATCTAGCGCACCTTAACCCTTTCACTGCCGGAGATGTTTCTGCTTTTTTTTTTTTTTTTTTTTTTTCCTTTTTTGGGCCTGAAGATTAGCTAAACCCCCAAATATATCATTTCCTGACAGCAGAGGCCCTGGAGAATACAACGGCACACACATTTCACCAGAATATCCGGCTTCATCTTCTGCTTTGTTCCCTGGTTTTGGCTGCAATCTTGTAAATAAATAAAACTGTAATAAAAAATGTATTGAACAAAAATATTGTGTGTCGGTGCAATGACAACTGTGGGATCCCAAAACATTGCTCAGAGTGCGGTGGTCAGGAGTGTATCATATACAACCCAGGGTGTAGAGTGCGGTGGTCAGGAGTGTATCATATACAACATGGGGCGCAGAGTGCGGTGGTCAGGAGTGTATCATATACAACATGGGGTACAGAGTGCGGTGGTCAGGAGTGTATCATATACAACATGGGGCGCAGAGTGCGGTGGTCAGGAGTATATTATATACAACATGGGGCACAGAGTGCGGTGGTCAGGAGTATATCATATACAACATGGGGCACAGAGTGCGGTGGACAGGAGTATATTATATAAAACATGGGGTGCAGAGTGCGGTGGACAGGAGTATATCATATACAACATGGGGCACAGAGTGCGGTGGTCAGGAGTGTATCATATACAACATGGGGTACAGAGTGCGTTGGTCAGGAGTATATCATATACAACATGGGGCACAGAGTGCGGTGGTCAGGAGTATATCATATACAACATGGGGTACAGAGTGCGGTGGTCAGGAGTATATCATATACAACATGGGGTACAGAGTGCGGTGGTCAGGAGTATATCATATACAACCCAGGGTGTAGAGTGCGGTGGTCAGGAGTGTATCATATACAACATGGGGCGCAGAGTGCGGTGGTCAGGAGTGTATCATATACAACATGGGGTACAGAGTGCGGTGGTCAGGAGTATATCATATACAACATGGGGCACAGAGTGCGGTGGTCAGGAGTATATTATATACAACATGGGGCGCAGAGTGCGGTGGTCAGGAGTATATGATATACAACATGGGGCACAGAGTGCGGTGGTCAGGAGTATATCATATACAACATGGGGTACAGAGTGCGGTGGTCAGGAGTATATCATATACAACATGGGGTACAGAGTGCGGTGGTCAGGAGTATATCATATACAACCCAGGGTGTAGAGTGTGGTGGTCAGGAGTGTATCATATACAACCCAGGGTGTAGAGTGCGGTGGTCAGGAGTATATCATATACAACATGGGGTACAGAGTGCGGTGGTCAGGAGTATATCATATACAACCTAGGGTACAGAGTGCGGTGGTCAGGAGTATATCATATACAACCTAGGGTACAGAGTGCGGTGGTCTGGAGTATATCATATACAACCCAGGTACAGAGTGCGGTGGTCAGGAGTATATCATATACAACATGGGGTACAGAGTGCGGTGGTCAGGAGTATATCATATACAACCTAGGGTACAGAGTGCAGTGGTCTGGAGTATATCATATACAACCCAGGGTACAGAGTGCGGTGGTCAGGAGTATATCATATACAACCTAGGGTACAGATTGCGGTGGTCAGGAGTATATCATATACAACATGGGGTACAGAGTGCGGTGGTCAGGAGTATATCATATACAACCTAGGGTACAGATTGCGGTGGTCAGGAGTATATCATATAAAACATGGGGTACAGAGTGCGGTGGTCAGGAGTATATCATATACAACCTAGGGTACAGATTGCGGTGGTCAGGAGTATACCATATATATGCTCCCTCACTCACATCTTCAATCTCTCCCTCTCTACTGGTGCCTTCCCCTCCCCTCTAAAGCATGCACACATCACTCCCATACTTAAAAAGCCCTCCCGGGACCCCAACAACCTGAACAACATAAGACCCATCTCCCTGCTCCAGTTTACCTCTAAACTCTTAGAACGCTTAGTCTACAATGGCCTGAGCTCCCACCTCACCGACAACAACCTTCTTGACCCTTTACAGTCTGGCTTTCACTCACTACACTCCACTGAAACCACCCTACTAAAACTCACTAATGATTTATTAACTGCTAAAAACAATGGCCAGTACTCCATACTCATCCCAACCAATGGCCACTACTCCATACTGATCCCAACCAATGGCCACTACATACTGATCCCAACCAATGGCCACTACTCCGTACTCCTCCCATCCAATGGCCACTGCTCCATACTCATCCCAACCAATGACCACTACTCCGTACTCTTACTACGTGACCTCTCTGTGGCTTTTGATACTGTTAACCATCCCTTCCTCCTCAAAAAACTCCACTCTCTTGGCCTCCGAGACTCTGCTCTCTCCTGGTTCTCCTCCTACCGCAGCGCTCCTTCAGTGTTACCTATAACTGTCTCCTTCTCTCCACTTCCTCTTTCTGTAGGGGACCCTCAAGGTTCTGTCCTTGGACCTCTTCTCTTCTCCATCTACACCTCCTCCTTGGTCACTTGATAAACTCCCATGGCTTTAAGTACCATCTCTATGCTGATGACACACAAATCTATCTCTCTACCCCTCACCTCACCCCTTCACTCTCCTCTTGCATTACTAACCTACTAAGTGACGTATCGGCATGGATGTCACTCCACTTCCTCAAACTAAATATTTCCAAAATGGAGCTCATACTGTTCCCTCCAGCCCGTGCCCCTCCCCTGACTTCTCCATCAAGATCAATAATACAACCATAAGTCCCCCCCCCATGCCAGGGTACTAGGTGTAATCCTGGACTCCCATCTGTCCTTTCAGCCCCAAATCCAATCGCTGTCCAAATCTTGTAGACTTCACTTCCGCAACATCTCCAAGATACGCCCGTTCTTAACCTCTGAAACCACTAAGCAACGTATTCCCTCCCTGGCTATCTCACGCCTTGACTATTGTAACTCCCTCCTCATTGGCCGACCTAATCGCAGGATATCCCCTCTTCAGTCTATCATGAATGCTGCTGCCAGACTCATCCACCTTACTAACCATTCTGTATATGCCACCTCTCTCTGCCAAACCCTCCAGTGGTCTCCATTCAGTGTCCTCCACCCTTCTCTGCCAATCCCACTGGCCTCCCTTCTCTTTGCCAATCCCTCTACTGGCCTCTCTACTCAGTGCCCTCCACTGCTCTCTGCCAATCCCTGTACTGGACTCCACTCAGTGCCCTCCACCCCTCTCTGCCAATCCCTCCACTGGCTTCCACTCAGTGTCCTCCATCCCTCTCTGCCAATCCCTCCAGTGGTCTCCATTCAGTGTCCTCCACCCTTCTCTGCCAATCCCTCTACTGGCCTCCACTCAGTGTCCTCCATCCCTCTTTGCCAATCCCTCTACTGGCCTCTACTCAGTGCCCTCCACCGCTCTCTGCCAATCCCTCTACTGGACTCCACTCAGTGCCCTCCACCCCTCTCTGCCAATCCCTCCACTGGCTTCCACTCAGTGTCCTCCATCCCTCTCTGCCAATCCCTCTACTGGCCTCCACTCAGTGTCCTCCACCCCTCTCTGTCAATCCCTCTACTGGCCTCCACTCAGTGTCCTTCACCCCTCTCTGCCAATCCCTCCACTGGCCTCCACTCAGTGTCCTCCACCCCTCTCTGCCAATCCCTCCACTGACCTCCACTCAGTGTCCTCACACCCCTCTCTGCCAAGTCCACTGACCTCCATTCAGTGTCCTCCACCCCTCTCTGCTAATCCCTCCACTGCCTCCATTCAGTGTCCTCCACCCCTCTCTGCCAATACCTCCACTGGCCTCCACTCAGTGTCCTCCATCCCTCTCTGCCAATCCCTCCACTGACCTCCATTCAGTGTCTCTCCACCCCTCTCTGCTAATCCCTCCAGTGGTCCTCCATTCAGTGTCCTCCATCCCTCTTTGCTAATCCCTCCACTGGCCTCCATTCAGTGTCCTCCACCCCTCTTGCTAATCCCTCCACTGGCTTCCCATTGCACAACAAATAAAATTAAAACAGTAACAATAACATATAAAGCCATTTATAACTCTGCCCCAAATTACATCACCAATCTTTTCTCCAAATATCACCCAAACCGTACTCTCCGCTCCTCGCACAACCACCTACTCTCTAGCTCCCTTGTCTCCTCTTCCTATGCTTTCCCCAGGGCTTCTCCAGAGCCTCTCGCATCCACTGGAACTCTCTACCCCAATCTATCCAACAATCGCCTACTCTGCTCACTTTTGGGCAATCTCTGAAAACCGATCTCTTCAGGGAAGCCTATCCTGCCCTCAGCTAATAACGGAATCTTCTCTTCCTCCTACCACTCCATCCCCCACAGTTACTACCTTTTGTACCACCAGCCCCTCCCTCTTATCGGCATTGTAAGCTCCAAGGAGCAAGGCCCTCCTATCCCTTTTGTATTGAACTGTATCATTGCTGTATTGTCTCCTGAGTGCTGAGCAAACTGTTGGTGCTATATAAATCCTGTATAATAATAATAATCAAAAGCCCTGACACTGTACTAATGGCACTGGCCGGGAAGGGGTTAACATCTGGGGTGATCAAAGGGTTAACTGTGTGCTGTGTGTGGTTTACTAGGGAGACATGCTGCTGTGCAGAGAGATACAAAGCAGCATGTCCTTGCTGAAAGGAGAGAGCCAGGAGAGTTGTTTACACACAGATCTCTCCCCTGTCAGTTTTACTCGGCGATCGCCTTGTGCCGGGGGGAAATCTCCAGCCGGGACCAGGTGATTGACATCCCTAGCCCCAATGGTGCCTCGGGCAAGGCAGCGTGTGCGCATGCACCCTAACCCGGAAATGCAAATCACGTATACCCAGTGGATATAAAAATTCTACAGACCCCTATTAAAATGTCAGCTTTCTGTGATGTCAAAAAATTAGACAAAGATAAATCATTTTAGAACTTTTTCCACCTTTAATGTGACATATAAACTGTACAACTCAATTGAAAAACAAACTGAAATCTTTTTGGGGGGAAGTAAACACAAAAACCTAAAATAATGAGGTTGCGTAAGTGTACACACCCTCTTATAACTGGGGATGTAGCTGTGTTCAGAATGAAGCAATCACATTCAAAATCTTGTTACATAGGAGTCAGTACACACCCGCCATCATTTAAAGTGCCTCTGATTAACCCCAAATAAAGATCAGCTGTTCTAGTAGGTCTTTCCTGACATTTTTTTTAGTCACATCCTACAGCAAAAACCATGGTCCGCAGAGAGCTTCCAAAGCTTTAGAGGGGTCTCATTGCTAAAAGGTATCAGTCAGGAGAAGGGTACAAAAGAATTTCCAAGGCATTAGATATACCATGGAACACAGTGAAGAAAGTCATCATCAAGTGGAGAAAATATGACGCAACAGTGACATGACACCAACAGTGACATCACCAGGAACTGGACATCCCTCCAAAATGGATGAAAAAGGTGAGAAGAAAAAACTGGTCTGGGAGGCGGCCAAGAGGCCGACAACAACATGAAAGGAGCTGCAGGAATATCTGGCAAGTCCTGGCTGTGTGGTCCATGTGACAACAATCTCCTGTATTCTGCATATGTCTGGACTATGAGGTAGAGTGACAAGACGGAAGACTTTTCTTATGAAGAAAACCATCCAAGCCTGGATAAATTTTGCAAAAACACATCTGAAGTCTCCCAAAATCATGTGGAAAAAATGTGTTCTGGTCTGATGGAACCAAGGTGGAACTTTTTGGCCGTAATTCCAAAAGATACATTTGGCACAAAAACAACACTGCCATCACCAAAGGAACACCATACCCACCGTGAAGCATGGTGGTGGCAGCATCATGCTTTGGGGCTGTTTTTCTTCAGCTGGAACTGGGGCCTTAGTCAAGGTAGAGGGAATTATGAAGAGTTCCAAATACCAGTCAATATCGGCACAAAACCTTTCGGCTTCTGAACATGAAGAGGAACTTCATCTTTCAGCATGACAACCACCCAAAGCATACATCCAAATCAACAAAGGAATGGCTTCACCAGAAGAAAATGAAAGTTTTGGAATGGCCCAGACTTGAATCCAATGGAAAATCTGTGGGGTTACCTGAAGAGGGCTGTGCACAGGAGATGACCTCGCAATCTGACAGATTTGGAAGAGCGGGCAAATCTTGCAAAGTCAAGATGTGCCATGCTGATAGACTCCTCCCCAAAAAGACTGAGTGCTGGAATCACATCAAAAGGGGCTTCAACAAAGGATTAGTGTAAGGGTGTGAACACTTATGCAACCAGATTGTTTTAGTTTTTTATATTTACTTTCCTCCACCTAAAAGATTTCAGTTTGTTGTTCAACTGAGTTGTGCAGTTTATAGGTCACATTAAAGGTGAAAAAAGTTCTGAAATGATTTATCTTTGTCAAATTTGTTTACATCACAGAAAGCTGACATTTTATCAGGGGTGTGAAGACTTTTTATATCCACTGTATATATGATTTTGCGCAGCCCTGTAGCAGTACTTCTACTATAGGGCAGCGGGAAAGTGGTTAATAGCTAACCCCAAGAATCTAGCAAACTCATCTCCAGTATATATTTCGTAACAGCTGGCAGAGATGACTAAAGAATAGATAAAAATAAAAGAACGTCGCCTACGCACAATGCTATCTTTTCTTCCACATTTCCTCTGATCAAACCAGCTACATCCTGAGCAGCCCGTAAAAGACAAGACAAGGGTTCAACGGCAAAAAGCAACGGTGACAAAAGAGCGCCCTTGCTTAGTATCACAAAAACACTTAAAATGGAGAGGACTGCAGGCCATTGACCCTAATATACGCTTTAGGGGCTGCATAGCAATAGTTGGACCCATTGACGAAAAGTGGAACCAAAACCAAATTTCTCTAGAACAGCCCATAGATACGGCCATTCTACACCGTTGAAGGCCTTCATGGCATCCAAGGCCAAAAAGAGTGCGATCCGTTGAGTTGGTAACTGGTGTCGGCATAAAAAGGTACAGTGTGCCCCCTGATGTCAACAGCTACTCACACATTATTTCAGGAAGGTGACCCTCCAACAAAGCCAAGTTGAACATGTGGAGTAGGGTCGGTAGCAGCACCCTGCCATACCTCTTACAGATTTCAAACGGGATACCATCTACCCCTAGGGCTTTACCATTCAGGAAGCTTGCAACTGCAACTTCCAATTCAGATTGGAAGACTCTTTAAGAAATTGTTGATGTACCACATGACTAGGGTAACCCATATGTCTCCAAGTCCTTCTACATCTCACTATACATACCCTTCCCAACTTATATTAATTAGGAAATGACCAAAGACCCGATCTGGAGAAAATTGGCCAGCTTGGCTGTTTATTACCTAGTGCCACAAAAAAGCTTAAAATGGGAGAGTACTGCAGGCCATTGACCCTAATGGACGCCTTAGGGGCTGCATAGCAATAGTTGGACCCATTGACGAAAAGTGGAACCAAAACCAAATTTCTCTAGAACAGCCCATAGATAAGGCCATTCTACATGTCGACGGCCTATTGGCATCCAAGGCCAAAAAGAGTGCGATCTGTTGAGTTGGTAACTGGTATCGGCATAAAAAGGTACAGTGTGCCCCCCTGATGTCAACAGCTACTAACACATTGGATCAGGAAGGTGACTCTCCAACAAAGCCATGGTAAACGTGTGGAGTAGGGACAGTAGCAGCACTCTTCCATAACTCTTATAGATTTCAATCGGGATACCATCTACCCCTAGGGCTTTACCACTCGGGAAGCTTGCAATTGCAACTTCCAATTCAGATTGGAAGGCTCGTTAAGAAATTGTTGATGTACCACATGACTAGGGCAACCCATATGTCTCCAAGTCCTTCTACATCTCACCATACATACCCTTCCCAACTTATATTAATTAGGAAGTGACCAAAGACCCGATCTGGAGAAATTTGGCCAGCTTGGCTGTTTATTACCTAGTGTGCCACAAAAAAGCTTAAAATGGGAGAGTACTGCAGGCCATTGACCCTAATGGACGCCTTAGGGGCTGCATAGCAATAGTTGGACCCATTGACGAAAAGTGGAACCAAAACCAAATTTCTCTAGAACAGCCCATAGATAAGGCCATTCTACATGTCGACGGCCTATTGGCATCCAAGGCCAAAAAGAGTGCGATCCGCTGAGTTGGTAACTGGTATCGTCATAAAAAGGTACAGTGTGCCCCCCTGATGTCAACAGCTACTAACACATTGGATCAGGAAGGCGACTCTCCAACAAAGCCATGGTAAACGTGTGGAGTAGGGACAGTAGCAGCACTCTTCCATAACTCTTATAGATTTCAATCGGGATACCATCTACCCCTAGGGCTTTACC